CATCCAGCCAGCCTGGATGGTTCTCTTGATGATTTCTGCAAATTGCTTGGAAAGTTTTTAAGCAAGCAAAGCTGCCAGAAATATTTTAAATGCAGCGAGGCTTTGCATCGTTAAGCCAACAATGCTTTCAATCATATTCTGAAGTGGCATTTGGAATCGCTGGATGAGCTTAGTCAAGCCAAAAATTAAATCCAGAACAGCAGAGATGCTCTGGCTTAAGAAACTGACCAGCCTGTGTAGGCAGCAGCAGGGTGATTATGCTATAAAGTCTATTCTACAAAGCACCTGAAGGCTTGGAAGCAATGGGTGGAAACTACTCAAGGAGAGAAGCAATGTAGAACTAAGAAGTTTGCTGTGAGTGAGAACAATTCATCACTGCAACAAAACTTGCCTCCATAAGTTGTGGGTGGTTCAACACTGGAGGTTTTTTAGGAAAAGTTTGGACAACCATTTGTCTGAAATGGTATGGGGTTTCCTGCCTTAGCAGGGGGTTGGACTAGAAGACCTCCGATGTCCCTTCTAACTCTGTTATTCTGTTATCATCCCAACATTTTAGACTTTGAAAAAGGAAATGAGGACCCGATTCCCATGGATGAGCGAAACCAAGCAGATGTTCAGCAGGGACGCTGGTCCTTGAGCAAGGAAGAAAGCCAAGGCTCCAAACGCCAAGCTCGGCAGCTGACCGAAGAAGACTTACCAGTGAACGACTACGTAAGTCTTCGGAATTGAAAAGCCAGGCCATTGTCACAAGGCTGTTTTCCTGCCTGGATTCCAAGCCAAGTGTAATTTTCAGCAATCTTTTTCCACAGAGCTGGGCAGTCCTGCTCCTTCAATTAAGCAGCCCCCCCCCCCCCCCCACCCCCACAAAATACCTTCACCATTTCTTGCTTTAAAGCATTGTGGAAACTGAAAGAATGCAGAGGACGGGAGAGGCCAGTGTAGCCAAAAGACGAGTGGTATGAGTTTGCACCAGAAAGCGAGAGTCGGGGAAGGAATTAATGAAAGGAGGAGTAAGAGAATAGTTGCAACAGAGATGGGTTAGGTTGCATCCTGCCCTTGCCAGAAACTATTGACATGGAGAGGAAAATGTTGCAGGAAAGAGATGTAGCATTGTGAACTACTCTGATAAGGAATACTGCCCTAGAGCAGATCCAATTATCTGTCTAGCAAGCTCAATCTGCCCTGTTTTGACTAGCTTGTCTCTCTAGCAATAGCACTTAGACTTGTATACCACTTTACAGTGCTTTACAGCCCATCCTTCCGAGGTGGGTCAAATGAGGACCCAGATTGTTTGGGGGAAATAGGCTGACTCTCTAAACCGTTTAGAAAGTCAGCCTATTTCCCCCAAACAATCTGGGTCCTCATTTGACCCACCTTCGAAGGATGGAAGGCTGAGTCAACCTTGAGCCTGGTGAGATTCGAACTGCCAAATTACAGGCAGCTGGCAGTCAGCAGAAATAGCCTGCAGTACTGCATTCTAACCACTGTGCCACCATGGCTAGCTGATCTTGGAGACAATAGATATAATCCATCACCTTGGCCCTCCTGCCTTCAGAACAGGATGTAGTCCCAGTAATTGGGTTTACACATGGCAGTTAAATCATTAAGTCTGCTTGGCTTCACCAATGAGCAACCAGTAAACATAAGCCACCAAAGCAAGAATCAAAAAAGTATCAATATGTGAACTTGTTCGCTATACCCCAATTCACACTTGTGTGTTTCTTTAGCCATAGTGCATTTGCTGATTGGCTTAGCTCCTTGTATAACCTCAACCATAGACTCTCTTCACACTTGGTGGGGATTCATCAGCATGTCCCATAGATCAGGGGTTTCCAGCCTTGGCAACCTAGGTTGGCTGTGGAATTCTGGCAGTTGAAGTCCACAAGTCTTAAAGTTGCCAAGGTTGGAGATCCTTGTTCTATGGGATGTGCCCATGGATTCCCACCAAGTGGAAATCCATGGCTGGTTGAGGAATACTGGGAGTTGAAGTCCACAAGTCTTAAAAGTTGCCAAGGTTGCAGAACCCTGTCCTTTGGGATGTGCCGATGGATTCCCACCAAGTGGAAACCCGTGGCTGGTTGAGGAATTCTGAGAGTTGATGTCCACAAGTCTTAAAAGTTGCTAAGGTTGGAGATCTTGCCCTATGGGATGTGCCCATGGATTCCCAAGTGGAAATCCAGGGCTGGTTGAGGAATTCTGGGACTTGAAGTCCACAGTCTCATTAAAGTTGCCAAGTTGGTGACCCCTGCCATAGGAACTCATTGGGATCCCACTTCTAACTTTTCCTTAGGCAAGTCAACTTCTAGCTTGCACTGGTCAACATGATGAGACAAATTGTTTCTAACTCACTCATTGTTCCTGCCTCCCTAGACCGAGCACGGCCTCGAGTTCCATCCTCTTTGGGATGAGAGAGGATACTGCTGCGCCCGTTGCCGTCGAGCCCACCGCTACTGTCGCAGAATATGTGAGCCGCTACTTGGGTACTACCCGTACCCCTACTGCTATCAGGGAGGGCGGGTGATTTGCCGTACCATCATGCCTTGCAACTGGTGGATAGCACGGATGCTAGGGCGGGTGTGAGCACGCTTCATCCAAAAGTAATAAAATCAGCTTAGCACAGTACAAGGTCCATTCTGACTGTTTCCCTGTAGACGTTTCTAGGCGTGTAATTCTCTTAAAAGGCCATTAGCACGATGTATGCATACATTTCTGCAAGAGCCACTTGGGTGGCCCAGCTGCAATTATCTCCTGATCATTTTCTCTACTCTCTTCCCACAAAATTGTATCCTTTACGCAAGCCATTTTCTCCAGGTCGTATTTTTTTTTCTATGTTTTTGCCCCTCGGATATATTATTCGGCGTAAAGTTTTCTGCAATGCATTCAAGTGAATGGTTTTTTTTTTAAATGCAGCCAAAAAAAAGACACTGTGATGTAAAAGTAGAGGTTTTGGAATGCAAGCATTAGCGGTTTAAAACTGGTTATAAAAAGGGGAAATGAAAGGCCAACTGGGGGTCTGCAGAAGATTATTGCCACACTGGAACCAAACGTTGCATCCCATAGTTGAAAACAAGAAATCTCTTGACACCAGCATTCTCCTAAAAATTCCGCAAGAGGGCAGCCTTTACCTGGAAATAAACAGTATTAGCTGAACGTCAGAAAAAGCTAGAAGTACGTTCTGCAAACTGTGCTTTTGCAGCTTCAACGGGAAATCCTTCCCACACCCACAAAAATGTATTAAAAAAAAAAAAACCTCAGAGATTTGCAAATTAATTTCAGCAACTCAGGGTATGTGTCCAAAAATATATATTCAGGTAGTCCTCGCTTAGTGCCTAGTTGGGACCGGCGGCTCAGTCAGTAAGCAAAGAATGGCAAAGTAAAATCTTAAGATCTTCCTTCAGCAAAAAAGTTTCCTGCTTCTGGCAAAAATTACCCCACACCAAACAATGGACTTATTTAACAACCGCAGTGTCCACCTTTGTGACATCTTTCACTGCTGCAAAAACAGATCATAAAGTCAGGTATAGTCATGTGATGATTTTCTTTGCAACTGTCAGGGATTATGACCAAAAATGGCAGGTTCAATTACGGTTGTAGGTTGAGGACCACCTGTATCTTAACTTGCAGGGAGATTAGAAACAAGCATGTATCTATTTCCAACATTAACAAAAGGAGCAATTCGTCCCCCCAAACACACATCACACGTTAACGAGCAGAGAAATCAAATATTTGCTGAATTGCAACTGTTTGCAAGAAATCAAAGGCGACCAAGTGATGTATTTAAAGAGCTTTCAGAATTAAAAAAAAAAAAAGGTTTATTATGGGTCCAGGAATATTCCTCTATTGAATACAAAAAGAAAAAAAGAAATATTCAAAGCATCACATAATACTGATCGTGAAACCATACTCAAACGGATGCAGAGTGACAGCTAAAATCAAGGACCCTCCCACCGAGTCTTAAAAATACACACAGAGACACAAAGATCACAACAACTCAGCTTCAAAAGTGATACTGAAATCTGAATTTGTTTTCAGAGCAGGAATTGTCCCCTGAGACAAGGAACATGGACCCAAGCAAATCTCCTTTCCAAAGAACTATCAAGGGTTTTCAGAATGCAAGGAATTAGCACCAAAGTACCGTTCAGTTTTGGGCTGGAAGGGGAAAGGCGGGCAGAGGAAATTGGAAAGGAGGCCAAGAGGAGTTTTTTTTTTCCTCTTCAGACCACAACTCAACTTTGATTTAAGCCAGGTGTTGTCTACTGATGTACTTATTTACACACAGCAGTAGGTGCAATTTAGGCGCAACGGTGTTCCAAAATTTGTTACTTGATGCATTTTGACACGAAAACATGTCTCGGTGCTCGTGGCTTAGTTCTTGATCCTCTGCGGTAAGAAGAGATGGACAGGTGCAAAGGGAGGACAGGAAGTCAGCCAGGCTGGAAAGGTTCCTGACGTAGGAGAGGGGGACAGCAGCCGAGAGCAGACAGGATGTCCTTCCCGGCAAAACCAAAGCATCACCCGTTAAGTCACATGGTTTATTTGCTACTCGTTTTTAGTACTAATTGTACCTTCCAGAACTAAGTGACGAGTAGCGAGATAACACTGCACCATCATGAGTGTCTTTCAGAAAATAACATGGGTATAGTCCTCAACTTATGACCACAATGGAGCCAAGCTTTCTGTTGCTAAGTGAGGCTTCCTGTTATTTAAGCGAGTTTTGCCCCCATTTTACGACGTTTCTTGCCACAGTTGTTAAGCAAGATCCCTGCAGTTGTTAAGTTAGGAGCATGGTTGTTAAGTGAATCAGGCTTCCCTGTTGACCTTGCTGGTCAGGTTTGCAATTGTCATAAATATGCCATTGTCATAAATATGAGTCAGTTGAATTTTTGATCATGTGACCTTGGGACGGTCGTTGAGTGTGAAAAACGGCCATAAGCCACTTTTTCGGCACCATAACAACTTCAAATGGCTACTAAAATGTGTGTGTGTGTGTGTGTGTGTGGTTATAAGTCAAGGACTACCCGTACACATCACACCCAAGTCATAATATATTTGTTTTGTTGAAGGTTTTGCATGATGCCGGTACCCGATTGTAATGCTTTAGTGTTATGGACAAATCAAGACCATTATCGCTCGATAAACCATGGTCCAAACCCCTGGGCAAATATCACATACAAACACAGTTAACTGTCTGATAAAAGAGGTTTTGGGAGTGCTCATTGCACAAGTTAGGCTTCACAGGTAGCATTAAACAACAAGACGGCTGGGCTTGAGCTTTGCAGAGCGTGCAAATTCCACTCCTTGTATAACCACCGTCTATAACTTAGCACGTAGTGTGAACTAGCCGTTTACCATTCCTATAGTAAATTTGTCTCGGCATGATATGGGGAAGCGTATCCAGTGAGGGCCTTAGTGTCCTATACGATTCTCCCACTGAAACCTCAAAGGGAAGGAGGCCAATTTACGGCTGTTGCAAATCAGCATTTCTTTTAAAAAATTAATTGTATCTTGTTTGGTGACAGGGGCTGCAATTCCATTCCATTGCATAGGAAACTAACTTATGCAAACTCATCATTATCAGTCCGTCTAGATCAGTGATGGCTAACCTTTGGGACGTCGCGTGCCTGTACCCATAATGCAATGCGTGCGTGACTCCTTGCGCCCTCTAGCCTCCCCTGCACATGCGTGTGGGACCCCTGCACTCCCTCCGCCCCTTGCGCATGTCTCACGCATCTGCCCCGCCCCCTATGTCTCATGCATCCGCCCCGCTCCCCCCTACGCATGCACGGCAGATACACGAAAATCAGCTGGCTGGCGGGAGGCATGCACGCATGCACATTGAAACTGAGCTGGAGCGACAGTTCGCGCACCCGCGGAGATGGCTCTGCGTTGCCACTTCCGTCACACGTGCCATAGGTTCGCCATCACGGGTCTAGATTAACGTTACCGAAAGTTTTCAAAAAACAACCGTCAGGTCCACCATCTTCGGCTTGGCGCTTCGCTGGTGTACTGCCATCAAACCCCATTTGGAGATCCCGTGAATTGGACCAGAGTCCGTCTAAAAACCCAAAGCATCTCTTCCACCAACATGCTACAATCTCACTGGGGGCTTACAGGTCATTATTATTTTATCTTGTCCCTATCCATTAAAGGCAAGGGTCCAGGAAGGAAGAGCATTTATCTCTTTACCAAAAAGCAGGGTCCACTTTGGAGATGATTCAAATGGAGAGAAGTGTCCTCGCTGAACATTTGTTGACTTCTCATCGGAGTTTGGGATTAAGCCACATAAGGTATATTTGAGAATCCTTGGGGCCAATTCTAAAGGTCAGAAGGCAACTCCAGATCCGAGTTTGGTACGGGCTACCAAAATCTTCATCGCCCTTTGTTCAAAGGTGGACATCTGGTTCTAGATGAGCTCCTCCAGCGATGGAGTTGAGTACGGGGAGGGGGCTGTTTCCCCATACCTGGCAGTGTGAAGATGCGCAGAATTCTGGGAGTTAAAATCCACGCAACTTCAAATTGCCAAGTTTGCAAAAATCCCAAGCTGGAGCCTCCAGAAATGGATCCAACTGAAACAAAGTACAGAATTTGAGCCCCAAACTAAGAAGTTGTGGAGATCTGGATAGAAATCACTCATGGTATTTTTTGAAGGTACTTTGGTTTTGGGTAGGATTTGATAAGTCCAGAATGAAAAGCATTATTCAAGAGAAAAAAAAACGGACATTTAACTAAAAGAGGCAGCTGTTGGTTAAATTATACTACAATAGCAAGAATAGGCTAATATAAATTTAAATAATACGTCCACTTAAATACGTAGAATATTAATGACACAGCAACTAATAGTACTATGAAAACCCTCCCTTTTTTTTTAAAAAAATATCTATTTTAAAACTACTGGTCTTCAGGAGTTTTAAATCTCAACGGAAAAGCTCCTTGCCTTGTCCTTGGTACTTTCAAACATAATTCAAATAATTCCCAAAGACAGCAGTCAGATCAAACTGGTTTTCAAAAGCTCAAGTCTGTCAGGGAAGTGGCTCCTAAAAAAAAATCTTCATTTTTTTTTTGTTTAGATAAACCCTGCAAATGAAGAACAGAAAATAAGAGATTAAGAGACGGTTGTTTTTAAATGCCAAGAAATTACACATTAAGGCATAACAGGGGTGGGACTTTCTATGAGCACAATGGTCAGAGTTTGTAAAAATGGTGTACACCTTATTGTTGGGTGTCAGGTTTAGTGCAAAATGCACGTGTGGCTAATGACCACCCTTATTGTTATTTCCCAAATCTGCAATAAACCATTTTTGAAGAAGAAAAAAAACAGGACTCAAAAGTGCACCTAACCATTGATTTTGTGTAAAAATCAATGATTAGTCATCAGCTTCCCAGCCAACGGAAAATTGCAAGCGCACAACTGATCTCAAAGGATACACAGTATGATATTAGATACCACATTTCTAGAAGTTATGGAAACTCTGAACAGATGCACAGGAAGCCACCTGATGGCACAGGGTCTCAAAGCCGTACCCAAGAAATAATGACGACAGGTTGCAGCTCCTTAGATTTCTTTTATGTATAAGGAAAACCTTTTTAAGACCTGTGCAACAGTAGAATGGTCTACCAATGGAATTTGCAGACTCTCCATCTCTGAAGATTATCAAGGAGCCAGGCAGCCACTTCGCATAAATGGTTCCATTGGTTTCACTGTATG